AATGTTTTATTCCTCTCTTGGTCTCTACGGTGTGTTTTATTTTACGCGTGTCTAAGATAACGTTTATTTCCCTCTACGTCTGCACGGTATGATTTATTCAACACAAAGCGTCGAAGTCAGCGTTCATGAGGCTTCCTTGTCCCTCTTGGGGTTTGTACTTCTCAGATCCATGTGAGGTCGCCGTACACCCTGTGCAGAATATTGGGTATTTTGTTTTAACGAAAATGTGATGTGCGCGTATAATGATCTTATATAAGGGAATGTGTGATGTTTATATAGCTTTGAATTGGCAAAGATAGTACATGCCAATATATCCAGACAGCTGGATGTTGCTAGAACAGATAAGCCTGACAGTGGTCTAAACTGTCGAATTACTTTCTAAGAGTTATGGACGCGTTAATCCGAGTTTTCGTAAAAAGGACATACATGAACACAGTATTCCCCGTGTATAAGGTTTGGCCAAGAAAGCTTCGATTGTCTGAGTGTTTATTTAACTGCGTACTCAACACGGTTACCATTTTAAAATAGAGAGGTTATATTGGGCATAGATTTCGCCGAGGGACAGCGACCATTTGATATATAAACAAAATAGAATTGTTCCAGAAAATACTTGAGCAAAATTATTTGGCCTAAAATTTACAACAGAATATTCGTTGAACATGCTGGATGTTGAGAAGCATGTGATTGGTGCCTCCTTTCACAGAATACACATGGATGTGTCTCCAACAAAGATATACGTGCTTAACTATTTTTACACTATTTGATGGTGAGGTGGTATTACTTCAAAATATGGGGGCGCGGTTGGCCCAGTCGTCTAAGGCGCCGCGATTCGCTGTGCAGAGTTGCGTCCCTTGGGCACGCCACAAACCTATGATTGTGGGTTCGATTATGTTTCTAGGTTTTTCAGCACCATACCCGTGCTCGTGGGTTTCACCGGTGTGGTAAACGTCTGAGACCTGCATCACTTCGGGCTTTCCTCCCACATTAAGCTGACACGCCATGATCTAACTGGAAAACTGTTAAAAGCGGCGTTCTAGCCCAACTCTCTCTTCAAAATATTATTACTTTCGTTAGGAAGAATTATTTGAAAATTCCTTGTGTTTGTGTTTTAACGGAACAATTTTGACATAGATGCAATTGTCGATTATGGTCCTTTATGAAGCGGACCTAAGATATTGGGTATTTGTTCCATAACCTTGCACTGAGTCGAGAGGATGTGTCATCTCCGGATAAGTATTGTTTCATTCATATGTAAAGGAGTAATTGTATATTCACAGTGTGTAAAACAGTTTGCTTATTGTGTTTGCCAGAAGAACACTGACGCTTTCGACGGCGCCTGAATGTCTGCGACGAGGAAATGCGTTGGCTACTTAGCACAAGGTGACTCTCAGAATGTGCCACACAGTGTATCTTGATTTCCTGGGCTCTTCCATATTGTGATGTCCTTGGTATATTGAATACAGATTGAAATGTCGTCCCAGGAGACGTCAGTAGGAATTACACTGTTCGCCACTCTACGGTTATATCAGCTGAGGCAGTTCAATGCCATGGAATAAAATAGTAGATGTTATCAGATCGAGGTTACTGAACACGATGTAGGCCGGGTAGTTTCCATGAGTTTTCTTAGTCAACAAAAAGTCTACAGTTCGGATGGATAAATGACATGTCTCAATGAACGTTGTCGTACTCACACAAATGTCAGAGTCGCTGTTATAGGAAGACGGTATGCTACTGTGGTAAAATAACCTACGACATATTTCCTGGATTATTCAGAGATTGTAACAATCATGTACCTGAGACGTTTGACATTTTCAATCATGTACATGGTTGATTTTGAAATTCTGAAGTAATGGGAAGTTCCATACAAGTTTGTTGCCAATCAATGTAACGTGATGTGATGGCAACGTTGTTTACGGTAGCTTAGCACATTTCAATCAGAGAACAAGGTCACAAGAGACGATATTACCAACAAGGTGGGAATATCCATTTCAGTTGACTTGGTTACAGGGAAATGTTTAATCATCGACCATGAATTATTAACCTCTTCATCAATTCTTGACAGATAATTCGTTTTTATCCAATGTCAAGGCCGCCGTCAAGATTATAATCTTCACATATCGGCTACATGACAACTTGAAAACGATTTTGTAGGTCAATGCTGCATATGATCACCAACTGGTGTTTTTAATATTTGTTTTTTATCACTTTGAATATTTTTTAAAGCAATATGTAGATGGTATTCATGTCATGTGAGACCCGTGAAGATCCGGGATAGAATAGGTCTTCAGCAAACCATGCTTGCCGTAAAAGGCGACTAACGGGATCTGGTGGTCAGGCACGCTGACTTGGTTGATGCATGTCATCGATCCCAATTGCGTGGATCGATGCTCATGATATTAATCACTGGATTGTCTGGTCCAGACTCGATTATTTACAGACCGCCGCCATATAGCTGGAGTAGTGCGGCGTTTAACAACAAACCAAACCAAATCATGTCATGTGAATGTCTTTCACGTGTAGCTGTATACTGCCTTTGAAATCGTTATATCCAAATGCATATCTTACATGTGACGTTTTATACATTTATTAATTAATTAAGGTGAAATTATCTCTTTGCTAATGCTGATTTGCTTGAAACGTAGAAGGATAATTCTAACAAACATGTCGAAATCAGTACAACGTTATGGAACGGCCACTTCATATTCTTGGGTGTCAAGGTGTTAGATTTGCGGTTATAGGGTGTACTGTTGGAGTTACCCGTATTTCTGTTACCTGGGGTTATATTACCCATATATCTGTTACCTGGAGTTATATTACCCGTATTTCTGTTACCTGGAGTTATATTACCCATATGTCTGCTGCCTGGAGTTATATTACCCGTATTTGTGTTACCTGCAGTTCTATTACCCGTATTTCGGTTACCTGCAGTTCTATTACCCGTATTTCTGTTACCTGGAGTTATATTACCCGTATTTCTGCTACCTGGAGTTATATTACCCATATTCCTGTTACCTGGAGTTATATTACCCATATTTCTGTAACCTGGAGTTTATTACCCGTATTTCTGTTACCTGGAGTTCTGTTACCCGTATTTCTGTTACCTGGAGTTCTATTACCCATATTTCTGTTACCTGGAGTTCTATTAGCCGTATTTCTGTTACCTGGAGTTATATTACCCGTATTTCTGTTACCTGGAGTTCTATTACCCATATTTCTGTTACCTGGAGTTATATTACCCATATTTCTGTTACCTGGAGTTCTATTACCCGTATTTCTGCTACCTGGAGTTATATCACCCATATTTCTGCTACCTGGAGTTATATTACTCATATTTCTGTTACCTGGAGTGATATTACCCGTATTTCTGTTCCCTGGAGTTATATCACCCATATTTCTGCTACCTGGAGTTATATTACCCGTATTTCTGTTACCTGGAGTTATATTACTCATATTTCTGCTACCTGGAGTTATATTACCCGTATTTCTGTTACCAGGAGTTATATTACCCTTATTTCTGTTACCTGGAGTTATATTACACATATTTCTGTTATCTGGAGTTATATTACCCATATTTCTGTTACCTGGAGTTATATTACCCATATTTCTGTTACCTGGAGTTATATTACCCGTATTTCTGTTGCCTGGAGTTATATTACCCTTATTTCTGTTACCTGGAGTTATGTTACCCGTATTCCAGTTACCTGCAGTAAGCGATATTTTCCTGGAAACAGACCGATATTTAACTTTTAACTGTAAATGCCTCCTACCAGATGACTGCTGTGATGGAACACATCCACCCCTGAATAATGATGATGATGATGATGATGATGATGATGATGACACCAGGTGTCCGCGAAAAGACTCAGTAAAGCTTTCTATTTCAGCAGAACCCTTTGCACGCAGAGTTCAAGGACCCTGTTAAGTGGACCTTTAAAAATCCATCGACCGTATAGGAAATAGTTCTCTTTCATGTAATTGCGGATGAAGACATTCTCAAAGTGTCGCAAGCCTCTGAGGCAAATTGCAAGTTGTACCCTTGGGCCGTCTTTGATTTAAAAAAAATAGTTCATAACTTATCCGAAATGCAATTGAAACACTAGGGGCATCCAAGGAGTAGATGCCGACGCTGCAATTGCCCAGAAGTTAAAAAAACACTCCTCATCTGCGAAGAGAATGAATCTGACGCCCAAACTTCTCCAAGAAACTCTTGTGGGAATACAGTGTGATGGATGAAATATCGCCATTTTCATTGCAATCATATCTCTCTACAATAAAGAATCTCCATGTCGAAGTGAACGTCCAAACCATACTCGTCATAGTTGTCATGCTTCGTTATCACATACGATTTTGGAGGATTTCATTGGGCATCGTAATGTAATATCATTGACTGAATTATTTGTGATGTGTGTTGAAGTCTGTAATAATAGAATCTTCTATGTTAAGTTATTGTATGATTAATGTGGCGAACCAACAAGGAGGATACGTCGTTATCGGCATCTAATGGATGTGCTAACGGTAAACCAGGGCAGGATCAACTGATTAATGGTTTATCGTTTGTTCAACGAAATATACACGATCGTAAACGTTTTTGATTCAAATTATATGGGGTCGACCTTTTCATATTCCTGCGGCCAATCTTAAAATATTTCTGCTCCCACTTTCGGAGAGAGTGATTCTGTCTTGAAGCTGTTACCGAAAAGTATTCTTATTTTAGCAAGGGTCTCAGCATCACACCTCACCAAACAACACCACACCACACCACACCACACCACACCACACCAGGCCAAACCACTCCCCAGCCGACATACACACAAACACTAAAACACACACAGAGAAACTAAAACACACACACACAAACACACACACACACACACACACACACACACACACACACACACACACACACACACACACACAGACACACACACACAGACACACACACACAGACACACACACACACCACTCAGCCCTCAAACGTACATCGTTCTTGTCTGTTCCAGGTGAGCTGCACGTGCCCCTGGAGGTGTGTGGAGCTGTGGTGAAGCGCGAGCTGGACTTCTGGCAGGTGAACGAATATGAGATCCGAGCTTGCTGCTGGCGTCACTACCGCTCCTACATAGAGAACCAGAGAATACTCGACTCGTTCAACAATTCCCTCAGGAAGGAACAGGTGAACGTAGACCTGAAGGCCCTCACGGGCTGGACCTACTGGCAGACCAAGATATGGCTCATTCTAGATCACCCCAGGACGTCCAGGGCAGCTATGGTAAGAGGCGTTAAGAGGCGCTACGTTACGAGGGCATGTACTATTGAGCAAAGACGTATATATGTATATGGGTCTATGTGTTGAGTTTCATATGTAAAAAGTTACTGGGAGATTTAAGACGTATACGACTCTTGGGCGTTGTTTAAGGTACAATAAAACACTGCAGAGAGAATAAGCCATGATCGGCGCAGCCCCGAGTGGTATTTTGTCCCTGCAGTGTTTTACTGTACGATAAACAAGGACCACGAGTCGTTTGTTTCTTTTATAAGATATCAACACTCTTAACAGACTCTTTATGGATGATGATAAAATGTACAAGTTTTAAAAATATTAACCCGTATTTTAACAATGATGACTCCCTCAATAGAATCCGACCTCGGTAATGTCGGACAAGTCCATTTTATGCACAGGAGGGTATTTCCTGCATATTCTCACAATACTTACATCGATTATCTGTATCTTTTCTCCCAATACCGCTTTCTTTCGCTTTTGGATGCGATCTCCAGAAATGAGGGCATGGTAGAACAGCTAAACCACACTTCCTTCTTCATAGTTCTTTGCGATTTACCGCGTATCTTATATATCGTGATAATGTGCTGCCAGGCGCTTTGTATATCACGATGACGTGATATGTTATGAACTTCGTGTGGTACTGGACGTTATGATAATAATGCGCTGTCAGGAGCTAAGTTACGATGGTAACTTTTAATAAAGGGAAATAACTCTAACGGGCGGACTGATGAATTGCTGCAAAAGACAAGTAGAAACAATATGTGTAGGTTATTGTTAGTTTGCTTATATCTAGTTATGCCTATGTTTAAAAACAGGTTTTAGTTGGAACACTATTGACTGCCCAACTGACAAATCACTGACCTTTGACGCAACAGATATATCAATTCGCACATTCTAGGAAAACGGGAAATGTTTAGTAATGTTTGTGAGAAATGACAACTGTTTGTTCGCCGATAGAATATAAGAATGACATTATATGATAAAGAGGTCACCACGCGTGTGTGTAATCGCTAAGGCTTGCTAAATCTATATCTAAATACATGATATTTAATAATAAAATAATTCTTATAATACGCTCACTTCAACGCACCAAAGCACGCTTAAAGCGCTGACAACACATACATATGTACGTCAGAGTTAAAAGGCCGAGGTATCAAAAAATGTCTTGACTTAAAAATATCATGTGATGAAGCTGTTCTGAGGACAGTTGGAAGATCATTCCATTTCTTTGCAACAGTTACTTCGCAGGTTCGGGCACCAAAGGATTTAAAGGTTCCATGTGTGAGTTGCCAACTGAAGTTTGTCACCAGGCCGCAAGTTCTTAAATGGCCGAGGGTGGTCGGGTAGCCTAGTGGTTAAAGCGTTCGCTCGTCACGCCGAAGACCCGGGTTCGATTCCCGACATGGTTACAATGTGTGAAGCCCATTTCTAGTGTCCCCCGCCGTGATATTGCTGGAATATTGCTAAAAGCGGCGTAAAACCATACTCACTCACTAAAAACCTGACATGAGTAAAAGTGGTCCATTCATTTCATTGTCACCATCATTTTGGCTTATACGCCCAATGGAATCTGTTTTGTTAAATGGTCGAGACTGTTTCTCCCCTGTCATTGACGTGTTGCATTTACGATGTTGCTAATGAGGACTCCCTGTACAGTGAAACCTGGATAGTGCATATCCCGTTGATACAAACTATCGATTTTGAATCGCGATGTATATTTAAGGCACATTATTCTAAGCATCCTTCGGAGGCCTAACTGACCTCTGATCTCGGATTTGTAGGGCTTCAAAGTGTAATATGGTTACCAAGTGCCAATTGAGCTAATAAACTTGAAGACATTTCAGATGAACTTGTAACTTTTAACCTGACTGAATGGAAGTGGAGCTTGGGTGTTTGTTCTCGCCTGCACGCTGTCGACGCAGCTTAAGTGACAGAGAAATGGCAGAGCATCACTGTGGGGATGCCAAAGTGGAAGTGACTGCAAGAGACTTCCATCTTTGATGTAGTGCCGACGAGGCGTCCACCTCACACCTCTCCTGCAAGGGCAGATCGTTCAATATTTGATGAAGAATCTGCAACCGAACAATTAGCCCCATGCTGCAAGAAAGGTCTGTGTACACATATCTGTATGAAACCCGAGCTCCCATTGGGCACAGCCAATCACCATATCCTGTCCATCAATCTCGTACCCATGCCCTTCAATGCTAGTACTCTATTGCTAACATGGATCCATTATGGCACTCATACCAAACCAAAGAACGGAACCCCGTGATGTTCGTTACGTCATTTTGTCATCAAAGATATTAAAAACATTAACTGAGTTAGACTAAGCATTTAAACACTTAAATGGTCGAGCGATGTGTGATATGGTATGACCATCTCTTCTCAATGAAGGAACAAATAGTCGATATTACCAGACAATGATGAGTGCAGGAAGGTCAAAAGCAATACCATCACAGAGAGGCAGGATAATTTACCACTGGTAATGAGCGAACACACGATAACCTCTTATCAGATTACTGGCTGGGAAAGATCTGACTCAACCACATCCAATGCAGTGGAACCCCTATTTACCTAACAGGTGGCTTATGCAATTCAGTTATGTGGCGAATACTTAATAACTGCAGCTCACAACGCTTTATGCTGTAGCTATAATGTGAATCTCTTGGGCCTCAATCAGAATGGTTAAAAGCTTAACCCTGACTGATTTAAGAGTTAAGGGGAACTCTGACCCAATGCGACCTTATACTATTATTTTATTTAGTTCGTATAGACCTGGTGTTGCTCGCTGACGTTGAATGAAGACATGGTCAATATCTCATTGCCTAATGCTCGAAAGCCAATCGTATTTTTTTACGCTTTACTGATGTGGTTAGATTGAAACAAGATAAAAGCGGTCTGAATCAACAATTATAATTCCGCGCAATTTTCCGAAAGTGATTACTGAAAATTGGTTGAGGTTCTTTTTTGCCACTAAAGTCTGGCAGTGATGGAACGCTGCTCGCTGTCTATCCCTCTACAGTTGGCATTTTTTCCAGAAGACCAAGATGGACAACCGTCTGACAATTATGCAGATAAGTTCTCGTTGCATCTCGAGGGGTTACGTGATCTTGAATGGTGGTTAGAAAAGGGGGAGCGAGGGGAGGGAAAAGAGGTAGAATATGTCACTCTGGAGCATTCGTCTGGCGGAGAGGTTTAACACTACGGGAACACGTTGAATCATTTATGAATATACTCTTCGTTATCTATACATTTTACCTTTAAGGAAACATCCACGTCGTTGACTTACAATAACATATCTTAATCCAGGTGACAGCTTAAAGCGGACATATGTGACTCTGTGGCTCCACCTGCATTTGGTTCTAATCCAAGTTTTGAGATCAACCTTGTCTTATATAGTTATACAAGGGATAATTGAATATACCAACTGATTCCAAGAAAAGGCCTGTTCCTTAAGAATGTATGTCGTCCTATACAAGTGACTGTCATTATTGGTAAAAAAAATTACCCGGGTGTACTTAGGTACGGATATGTAACCTCTCAACATGCCTCCTACCTTGGTCTTACGTGTTCTGTGCATGTGACTGCTTCCCTCTCTGCATCTGTGCAAGGAAGGCACAGCTGCCCCTTGAGATGGATCAAACTCTCAATAACATGGGTGTCTTAATGGTCATGTAGCTATTGAGTTTCTCATTTGGGCATTGGACATGACTTCATACAGGTTGTCTGGGTATTTCGCAACAATTTCTGAGGTTTGAATATAGGCTTTTAATCTGCACGTCTCGGAACCACTGATGGGAGTATTGAATTGGACGGATTTAGCCGAGCCATGCCCGGTTGTTCGTTGAGCCAGTTTAACCGATGGCTACAATCTATCCTGACTCGCCTCCAAACTGCATCAATTCCTTGCTAGCAAACTGTAATTCGTTACATTCCTCTCATACAAACGGCCACATATCGATCCCTTGTCGTCTAAAATACCAACTTTCTGGAAAAAACAAGATTGACGATAGTATAAATAGGAAAAGACAATACAAGTAACGGAGCATCATAAAGTGACGCCACACATTGGAGATTAAATTGTAATATGTAGCTTGGTGATTCACCACGTAACAGTCCAGGCTCGACACCCATTTCATCTTGTGTCCATGCACTCAACACATAACGGCCACGGCAAGTGACTGACGTTATTAATTAGTGTATTATGCATTTTAATTTTAAAAAAAACGTCTATTGGATATATGACACGATGTGGAATGGCGCACGAGTCCAGTTGTCAATTCGAGTGATATTCAGAATAATCTTAAACACTCCCGATTTGGTTAATCAGAGTGGCATTGGTGTTAAGATGCTTGCTCTGATTCTCAGCGAAGTTGGTCAGTGGGACACGGCCCTTGTTGGTGTAAGCGTGGAGGAGAACGGAATTCCTTCTTGCTTTGTCGATGTTTATTGGTCTGGGGTATCAATTAGGACTAAGGGGATATTTAAAGGCACGTCTTTCATGATTTTTGTAACTGATATAATTAAACAAAGACAAATGAAACTATTGGTTCATTTAGCTGTGTGTTCAGTGAGTGAGTGAGTGAGTATGGTTTTGCGCCGCTTTCAGCAATATTCCAGCAATATCACGGCGGGGACACCGGAAATGGGCTTCACACATTTTATTCATGTCGGGAATCGAACCCGGGTCTTCGGCGAGACAAGCGAACGCTTTAACCACTAGGCTACCCGACCGCCCCCTGTGTGTTCAGGTAGCTGATTATTGTGACATCAAATACATGTATGTGGTTGGCTTTTATTAAAATGGTTAGTGTACAGGTCCAGTGACATTCCAGGCTGTGATACCGTAGTGTCTAAGGTGATATTCTGTGTTGTACAGGCGGGTCTAAGTAGGGATTTAGTGTTTTACATGCGGGTCTAAGGTGACATTCTGTGTTGTACATGCGGGTCTAAGGTGACATTGTATGTTGTACATGCGGGTCTAAGGT